ATAATACTTAATGGTTCATGATATTCTTTTTCTTGAATATTTGTTTTGGAAGATAAATGAAAAAAACACATACACTCATGTAAGACAGAGTAAATACGAATGATTAAATGTGACAATATATTTGCTCTTATATTAATATAAACGACAATAAAAATTATGTATACAATAAAAATAAAAATACGTTTCAAAAAAAAACTATGTGTCTATTCAAGTTTTCGTCGACTTGCTGTAAAACGTTGCATATACTAAAAAAAAAAAAACAAAATAAATTTAGAAAAATTTTCTTTTCTTATTGTCGATAATATCATTACTTTATCATATCCTTCTTTTCCTTGAAAAGCTTTTTCATCAAATCGATTTCCATCATATGAAATTAATGATAAATTTGAATCAGTTAATAAACTAACTGGAATTGTATCCAAATCGAGATTATTTCTATCAAGACGTAATGTTTTTAAACGAGGACAAAAACGAAGTTGATCCGATATTTTGATTATCTAAACATAATAAATAAATAAATAAATGTTGACCAAAAAAAAATCAATTTATCTTACTCGATTATCATTAAGATTTAATTCATCAACTTGAAGTGTTTGAATATGATCTGGAATTTGTGTTATTTGATTTGATGTTAGATCAAGTAATTGTAAATTATGTAATTTAAGTATTGATTCAGGTATAGTTGTAAAACGATTATTTGATAAGATTAATTGTCTTAAACTACTTAAATTAGTAAATGATGATGGTAATGAACGAAGTTGATTTTGACCTAATTGAATATTTTCGAGTTTTTTCAATTGACCAAAACAATCAGGTAATTGAACTAATGAAATAAAACAAGATTTAAATTCTTCTTGTACATTATGATGAATAGATTACAAATCAGCTTTGAAACTATTTTATATGACTGACATTTATATTCTGATGAGAAGTAGAATCGTAACTAGATGAGGACTAGAGACGGCTCGGTCCCGTTTAGAAGCATTTCCAGAGGATCTCAAAAGACACGATCAATTGTCTGAACTTCAGTCTACATTTTTCTGATTACTTTATTAATGATAGGTTTAAATTTTCAAAACGAAAAGTCCTACCGATTTGATTATTTCGAAGACTTAAATTTTTTAAATTAACCATTAAACTAATTTCCATAGGAATTGTTTGAAGTTCATTATCGTTTAATGATAATGTACGTAAATTTGGCAGACAAAGACCAGGACTTATCTAATAAATAATTAAAAATTATAAACAACAACAAAAAATTATTTTTCAATTGATATTTTTTCTTACTTCTTTAAGTTTTTTATTATCATATTGAAGTACACCAGTTTTTGTTGCTGTTTCAATATGTTTTTTCAATGTACTACCACTACTAGCACTATGGGTATTTCCCATTGTTAATATAATCGAAAAATGTAAATGAATTCACCAATCAATTGTAAATAGATCGTATTAGCATATCATATGGTGTGCACGCATATTAAATGTTAAAAAAAAAGAACAATTTCATTGATCAATCATAAGGTTTAAATATAGAGAGAAACAATAGATGTCTATAGGCACCAGAGATGTCCATGGTGGTGCTGCCGTGGTGGCGGTGGCGGCACATTTATTTTACAATTCATCGCGACAGCGGCACGGCAGCGGCAGGTTTTCAGTTGCGATGAACATCTCTGGCAGGCACAAGCAACTTTTCTTAAGCTATGTATAGTAAATGAGAATAGTTTGATGATTAAATGCATTTGTTAGATGTTGAAGTAGGAATGATGGTTTATTATTTGATTTGATTTCAAGTGAAACATTAAGATACTAAGCTCATACAAGACTTTAAGTCAAAATTCTTTTCCGACGATCTAATCATGTTTAAAGATGATGTGTCTGATTTTTAAACTAATGAAAGAGTGTAAACTTTCCTTATAGAGTTATGACCATTTTCAGTTCATAGTAAAGTATTCATAGAATACTTAAAAAGAAGGATTTTTCATCAGAACTTTTGCCTATAAATAGATCCCTTGATTCTGAAAATTTTAGTCGAAACGGATGGTTCCTTTTCAATTAGGGCTCATCGAGTTGGTTCGGGTTCGAAAATTTTTGACCCGACGTGCTCTAGTTGAGAAGGAACCATCTAATTTGGTTGAAACTTTCAAGAGATCTATTTATAAGCAAAAGTTCAAGTGAAAAATTCTTTTTTGTGGTTTGGCTATGAATACCTCGTCGCAAATCGAAAATGATCACAACTCTATATGGAACGTCGTCTATGAGAAGAAATCGTTTCAAATTTTTTCTAGTCTCACTTAGACCTATCTATGAGCAAAATATCACTTCGATCGACAAGTACCAGTTGGATATGTTCTCTTGTAAGTAAAATGATAGTTGAACAAAAAGTTCGTTTGTTTTCCTCTCGAAATTCAACTGGATTTTTAAATTTATATTATCTTATTCAGAAGACATGATATAATATAAATCTGAAAGTTCTTGTCGTGTTTAAATCAAAGCAAAAAAAAAAATTTATTTAAGGGGACACCCCCCTTTCCGGGGTTTCTCGAGAACGGCTCATCAGAAAAATTTGAAACTTTCACAGCTGATAGATCTCGATGTGTAGAGTAAAAGTTGTCATAGACTCAAAATTCTCAAATGCTTCTTTCTAGGAGATATTGGGGTTGCAATGGCTAAAAATCGACCCCCAAATCGCCCATGTTTCTCAGGTACAGTAAATCCGATTGGGCTATAATTTTTTCTACAGATAGTAGAGACACTTCAGGGGGCCTACTTTTTTTGGTTTCTTTCTATCACTTACCGTTCGAATAAAAAAGCCAAAATACCAAGAGCACCCTAAAAAATCCATATTTATTTTGAATAGTGCTTGTCTTGTAAGGCCTGCCAAAACTCAACGGTACAATATTTTTCAAAACAAAAAAAACTAGGCCCCCTAAAGTGTTTCTACTATCTGTAGAAAAAATTTCAGCTCGATCAGATTTACTGTTCCTGAGAAACGGGGGCGATTCTGTAGATTTTTGCTGAAAAATCTGGTTTCTAGGAAACCGCGAAGGAAAGAAAAAATCGTGCTATACCCCTACGGCAATCGATTTATCTTTTCGATTTTATTTTTGCTTTAGAGCTATATTTGAGTTCTCAAAACGTTACCAGTAGACAGAGGGCACTTGAAAACACATGTAGAGCAGAAAAAACAAAAAAAATGAAAAATTTGAAAATTTTGGGTCCGGAAATGGGGGGGGAGTCCCCTTAAAGATCAATTATGTTAATAGTATTTATTGTTCATTTTCATCATGAATTTTTCTATGCAAATAAAAAAATAATTATATTTTTCCACGACATTGTAAAACAGGTACACGACTTCTTGTTTGATCACTTTGTGGATTTGTTGGTAATGTCATAAGAGTATATTGTGAACCAGTCATTAATGGATGACCCACTATAAAAGAAATAAAACATTATAAAATGAAATTTTAATATACAACGTAATTATATCATATATCATTAGATATATGCATTTAATGAAAAAACATTTACTTGTTCAACATGAGAACGTAACAAAAGAGATAATCTTAAGACTTTGTGAAATGTAAGTATTAATAAATATTCAATTCAATGGAAGAAAAATTAGATTCTGTTATCTACGTAGACTTTGATCAATATCTTAAAATCAAGAAAGTCAAGATTGAATACATATACAACAAATTTTGAAAATATAATTGATTCTATATAAGAATATTTAATTAACGAATGAAAATTTATCAAAGTGAAAATATTAATTTAAAATTCTATTATCAAAATAAAAAAACTTACATTGTGTCACCTTGTTCTTATGTTCATTAATATTTTCTAAATTTTGTTCTGTATGTCGACGAAAATATGCACTACCAGGTACATATTCATTAAGTTCCATTGTAAGAATATCTTGAAAATTATGTACCGGTCCAATATCATTCTCTGGTAAATTTCGTGTACCACGTGCAGCTGCTTCGAGTTCATTTTGTGCAGCTTTCTTTTTATGTTTTTCCCAACTAAGAACACGTCCACGATGTTCAATATTAATAGTATTTTTTATTATCTATTTATTTAGAAAATCTCATAAAAAAATAAATAATATGAGATATGATATTACTTACATTCATGCGCATTTTACTCCAATGATCAGTATTAAGATGATATCGAGTAGTCATAATTCTATTGTAAATAATAAAATTTTTATTCATAATAGAATAACGACATAAATATATGACAAACAATAGACACAAATTCAAACTTTTATCAAACACGATGTGAAAGGAGTGTTAACGTAGAGCGGTAAAAATTTGGACTCACCTCTCTACAGACATCAGTTAGACACAATAACACAGACTGTGATAAACGTTACTATGGGAACGTCACAGACTGTCATAGGCGCCTTAGCAGCACTCCTACTCCCCCTCCTACCTGCGACACAGACAGTATGTTAATAACGTCGAGTTATGAATATGTGAACTACTTGCTTATTGCATTTCTGGAGGATTAAGTAAAAGGAAATTGAAAAAATACGTCCCAAAATAGATAGAATAAAGCAATCTTCTTGTAATTAGAAACAGTAAATACATCGTGTTTCATATGTTAATTCCGTAGGGATTGTACTAACAGTTTTTTTTTTATTTATTTAATTTTTAAAACTTAAACATTATTTTAATGTCAGTGAAGATTTTCTTAATGGAAAAATAAAAAAGAAAGATATTTTATTTAATTATCTTACATTTTCCTTTTTGCTTTGTATTGATTATTGTTTACTATAATAAAATATTTCTTTATATTGTCCTTCACTATGTGTTTTTTTTTTCTTCTTCGTTACTTTTTCAAATACATCAAGACATAATTCATTTATGTTAAAACAAAACATGGCATTCTTTTGTACACATATGAGATTATATATTCTATATTCAGACGTATATATTCATTTACACTCTTTCGTTTTTTTTTTCTTTCATTCAATTCATTTTTTTGTTTTTTTCTGATCATAGTTTTTCAGAATACAATTGACTATTATGAGAAGTATTGTCATTCGATACCATAACTGATTGTTGTTGTTGTTGATGTCGAATATCTAATGTCGGAGAATCAGCAAACATAGGATTATAGAGTTTTCGTTTATTATTTGAAGTTTCATCATTAAATTTTGCATAATTTTGACATGAATATGATGGTACATTCATATTTGCACCATGTGTAACAACAGATTCGATTACAGTTGGATTATTATCGATTATTTGTTGACGACGACGACGTGTTTCTTCAGTTGTTGTTGTTGTTGTTGTTATTTGAGAAAAATGACAACAAAATAATTTTTTATTTTGTTTCCATCGAGATATGAAAATAATCAATGTAATAATCATAATAATAAGTATAATTATACTAAATATAATACTAAATATAATTTCTATTGTACGTTTTTTTGTTATATGAGAATTTTTAACTAATGAAATTAATTGATTAGATTTTTGTTGATAATTTATTGAACCAGGTTCACAATAATCTAATGAACAATCAATTGATGATTTTAAACAAGCATATTGAATTTGTTTATCAGTAAGAGAATTAATATTTTGTATTATTTTCTCATTTAAACATTGTCCAAATATTTGTAAAGAATTTTTTCGAGCTATAGAAAACCAACAAGATGTACAATTAAATAAAATATGTTCTATTGAAAGTATTTTTAAACCAGTTAATTGAATAAATATACATGCATCAAGATCAAGTAAATTTGTATTTGATAAATCAAGATAATTCAATGATTTAAGATACTTGAATGAATCTTGAATTATACCTATGATTAACAAAACAGTATAACTATCGTTTGTCCAAAAATATAATAACCGTAGGTATTTTTGCAATAACTCAAGAACGAAAAGAGATAGAGAGCTATGATTTTCACCATTCGAGAGAGAAGAAGACCCAGGGTCATCGAAATTTAATTGATCAGTAATTGATCAATCAGGTGAGTTCTTGATGAAGATTTCCAAAAAGTATTCTAAGGCTATTTTCCTTCCGATTCAGACTTTAAATAGAACTATTTAATAGAAAAAATCCTTTTGTTTCGTTCTATGCAAGGCTGAGATTCCTAGCTTGTTCTGTTCGAGAGTTACAAGACTTTTCTTCAGACTCCCAATTCCAGTCAATTGACCTATGATCACCCGAAAAAGTAGCTAGGCAGAGATAATGCACTATATTGAGATGAATGATGATATTTGTTTTAGATCAAAAAAGAAGTATTTTATCTATCGAATATTTCTATTACAAGTCTAAAGTGGAAAGGAAACAGCTTCAGAATATAGTTTTCGAAAATCTTCACTAAGAACTCATACGATTAGTCAATTAAATTTCGATGTGCTTTGATGGCTCCGTATCTTCTCTTTTCAATGGTGAAAATCGCAGCTCTCTAGCTCTCTTCGTTCTGAAGTTATTACAAAAATATCCAACGGCCATTGTATTTTTTTTGACAACCGATAATAATTATATCATTTTCATAATTTATTTCTTAGAAAAGTAAAATTACACTCAAAGTCACTGATACATCTAACCGATAACTCTCTTGCTTTTTCTAATATCTCAAGATGATTTTCGTCAAAATGTATGCCCATATTCATAGTTTATTAGCTCTCTATATCATGTATTTAGTTTGCCAGATTAGAAATACTAAATGTGAAATATTTTGATTTCATTCAAAATTGATCAAGGTTGAGTAGTCAAGTCGAATCCATAGGCGGCGAAACATTTTTGATTCTAGGGTAAGCTTAACATTTTTATAAAATTTATATTTGGAAGTTAAAAATGAGAGAAGACGAGTTTTTTGTGTCTCTTCTATC